AGTTTAAGTGATTTTATAAATCTTGTTTTTCCAGGATTATTGGATACAAGTAAATTCACTTTGAGAGGATTGTTCTCATTGTTGACATAGTGAAAATCCAAGAGGATTGTTCTTGGCCCAAGAGGATTGTTCTTGGTTTTGGATAGTTCTTGTTTAAGTTTGCCACAATAAGAAAATCTCTTTCATATTGAAAGGGGACTGGAGTACTCTCGAATTGTGAGGGGAACCAGGATATATCGCTTGTGTCTCTTTATTTTTCTTCACTTTACTCTTTTATAAACTCACCATAAACCAGAAAAATAATATCCATCATCACTAAAACCATAAATTTTTAAAGTACATGATTCACCCCCCCCCCCCCCCATCTTAGGTGCACTTCGTACTTACAGTTATCTCCATTAGAATTTACTTCAAAGGGTCCACACACATCTGAATGAACCAGTTCCAGTTTTTGCCTTGATGTTATAGGCAAATCATGTTTGAACGCCTCCATTGCCTGCTTAGCTTTGCAGCATTCGTCACATATCTTCTTTGGTTCCTTCACATACGACAACCCAAGAACCATTCTTTTCTTATTGGGAATACATAAAATCTTGAAGTTTAGATGTCCATACCTATGATGCCATAGCCAATTCTTGTCTTCTTCTGTAGTTGAAGCAAGACATTTGTCATCTAATGTGTTGAGTTCGACTTTGAAGGTTTTGTTCTCTGCCAATGGTGCTTTCATGATTAGCCTCCCATCAGCCGTATATACCTTCATCTAATTATTCTCCAACTTCATATTGAAGCCTTTTGCAAGTAATTGACCTACACTTATCAAGTTACTTATCATCGAAGGTACATATAGAACTTCAGTGATAGTAGCCTTTCGACCATCCTTTCTAATAATAAAAATATCTCCTTTACCACCTGATTTGATATGTCTGTCATCTGCAAACTTTATCACCTTTTCGAATGACTCATCTAACTTGGTAAACTAGTTTTTATTGCCAGTCATGTGGTTGCTACATCCTGAATCCAGATACCACATGTTGTTTTTCTCAGTGTTCAATTGAGTTTTCACCAGCAACAACACATCGTCAGAATCACTACTTCTAGCTCGTGCATATTGAGCTTCATCACTATCTTTCGACTTTGCAGCTTTCTTTCTTCGACAGTCTCTAGCATAGTGGCCAAAACCTTAACAATCGTAACATTGCACCTCTTTCGTGTCAACTTTCTTTCTAGAATACTTGTTGCCCACACCTTTCAAATCAGTATTCTTTCTTGACTTCTCATCACCAGCAAGATTCTTTCGCTGCTTCGACTTCTCTTTTCCAGCTTTCTCGTTGAATCTTGATTGTAATGCTTGTTCAGTTGTCTTCTCTCTTTTTGAGTTTCTCTGTTGTACCCTCATTTCGTGAGCCTCCAATGAAGCTTGAAGTTCCTCCAACTTCATCTCAGATAGATTTTTGGCCTCTTCAATTGTTACAACAAAGTAATCAAAGTCTGCAATTAAAGATCTCAATACCTTTTCTATCTTTTGCAGATTCGTTAGCGCTTCACCACACGCCTTCATCTGGTTTGTTAGCACCATAACTCATGAGAAATATGCAGAAATAGATGCATCCTCTTTCATCTGAAGCATCTCATACTGCTTTCTCAAAGTCTTTAACTTCACCTTCTTCAGTTTCTCATCTTCACCATACAAGGATTTCAGCTTTTCCCAAGCTCCTTTTGCTGTTTCTTCTTCAATTAACTTCTCAAATACATCACAATGCACACACTAGTGAATCAAGAACAACGCCTTGTCATCTTTCTTCCTCTGATCTTTGTGCGCAGCTTTCTGGGCTTTCGTTGCATCTACTTTCAGTTCTGAAATTCCATCATTTAAGATTTCTATAACATCTTGAAATTTGAAAATAACATTCATTTATGCCACCCATCATTGATAGTTTTCACCTTTGAAAACCGGTAGATTTGCTGGAAATTGTGTTGATGTTGTTGATCTGTTTGCCATTAGATTCTCTCTGAGTCGCAAACAAGCTCTGATGCCAATTTGTTGGAATAAAGGATTCAAGAAAGATGATATTGTGAAAGCAAGAAGAAGAAGAAGGAGAGAGAGAGAGAGAGAGAGAGAGAGAGAGAGAGAGAGAGAGAGAGAGAGAGAGAGAGAGAGAGAGAGAGAGAGAGAGAGAGAGAGAGAGAGAGAGAGAGAGAGAGAGAGAGAGAGAGAGAGAGAGAGAGAGAGAATTGTTGAGTTAGTTATGTGTAACTAACTATCTAACATGAATTGTATTATTGTTGCTTACTATTACAAACAATGGCATATATATAGGCAAAAATGCTCAGGCCCAAATAACTACATAACAAGAATTAACCAACTACCAGTTATTACAGAAACGCATATGTTTTGGCGGCATTATAAGAGTCCTTACAAAGTAAAAGATCCTTCAAAGCCATGACTATTTATTCTATGGTTGTAAGGTGGTCCTATAAGTAGAAAAGAATATGAATTTTGAATAACAAATTCTTTTTTGTGCTTATGTATATAATGAGTTTTTTTGAAACTTTGAATATGGTGCTTTTGGAGTTGGAATTGGAAAATTTGAAGTTTAATTAGACATTTAGCCCGGTTTTAGTTTGATCTCTTAATTAATAAACGTTACTTTTTAATTTGTTAAATCTAACTATGTTTGTCAATTTAGTCTATTCCATTAAATTTTAACTTTAAATGTTTAAGGTGATGCAATATTATTGAATGCCCGTCATAAACTTTACTATTTTTAAAGATTTCACCATTTGATTTGATTGAAAAATATCAAACGGTTGAACCTAACAATAGAACACCAACACTTAAAGAGATATTTGTTTCATGGATTCCAAAATTATTCTCAGAAATATGATTTAAATTTTTTAGATTTCTATGTTTGTTTCAAGTATTTATAAATTATGTCTTGGAACTTATTTCTGAGAATTTCATTTACACTTCATTTTTTTATTTTTTATCCTCATGTATTAGGATGAGAATCTTTTATTTCTATGAGAATAAAAATATAACCATCAATAACTTCCCACATATATTTATTTAACTCTTTTATTTTTTATTTTAAATTTTTAACTAAAATATAATTTTATAAATATTCCTGAGAACTTAAATTATTTACCAAACACAAAGGTAGGAATAAAGTTTCCGGTAATAATGTTCCTTGGAATAATATTATCGGGATTATAATTTTAATCCTTGAAACAAATACACTCTATTTTATTTTATTTTTGACATTTCTTTATCTTCTTCCCTCTTCTTTTTCTTCATCTTCATTCCCACCTTTTTCATATATCTCGTTAAATTTTATTATATAATCTATATACAAACTTAATATATTTAGATGCTATCTTAAAATTTTCAAATATATTAAAATTGTTTTACATGTTTTTGTTAATACATTTATTTTTATCAAATAAAAATTAATTTAATAATAATATAATATAATAAGATAAATAAATCATAATTTTTTTAATAAAAAAATTATTTTATGTCATTTTATATTTATCAGGTAATATAACAATTAATTTATCAAACAGTTAATTTATCAAATATTTAAATTAATTTATCAACTACCAATCATCAGTTATAAACTATCACCTACCAGCTGTAAACTATCAGCTACCAGTTAGTTTTACTAATCAGAGCCTTAGAATTCTTAAAACATATTTAATCCTAAAAAATATTATAAATAACATGGATAAAATTGAAGCACAGTTTCTTCACCTCCTTTATTCTCAAATTGAAGGGAACCATAAAAAGTGAAGAATCCGCAAAAACTTGGTCTCTCTTCTATTTCTCTTCAGTCCTAAACAGGAGAAGAAGTATCTCTTTTTTTTTAAGATTTTGTTTAGGAATTTGAAAGGGAGAGAAGAATTTCGAAAAAAAAAGGAATGAATAAAAAGCCAAACATGAGAAATAGTATATCTCTTTTCTAAGATTTTGTTTGAGAATTTGAAAGGGAGAGAAAAATTTTGAAAAAAAAAAAGAATGAAAAGAATAGAAGAATTTATGTGAAAAATATTTTAGTGATTTAATTTTATTCAAAAACCAAAATAACATAATTTAAAGACTAAAATATTATATGAAAGAAAACTTTAAAGAATTACGACAAATTATTTAAATATAATTTATATCATCTAAAAATTGTTCTTTATATTTTATTTAAAAAATTGTTTTTCAAAGTCCTTCTTCCTATCCCTCTAAATTCCCAAACAAAAATTCAAAAAGCCTAAGTTGGTGGCATGTATTTCACGTCCTTATGTTACCATAGTTTCAGTGTTATAAATGTTAAGATATTTCTTTTGTGTGGAAGAGTTGGCGAATGTTATCATATAAGTTCTTATTCTAAATTAATTTTGAGTAAACCTCCGTTTTGGTAAATGTCTATCAATTTGAACTCTCAAATTACAAAATGAACTGGATGGTAAGAAAACATCAATATTGACATGCTTGAAACGTTTTGACAAATTGAGGGCCAAGTATTATCATCTAAATATTATTCAAATACTGGGGCAGAAAGAATCAAAACAAAGTTAGTGGTAACTTGTATTGCTTTGTACACAATGCAAACGATGTCGTGCCACTTTATAATTGGAACAATGTTACCTCTCCTAAAAGTTCTTCGAGGTCAGTAATAGTTATGAAGGTTAATGGATTGAGAGGGATGAGCTTGATTAAAGACTTCCATTCTAATGTATCAAAATCATAGACAATCTACTGCAATCTAAAGTAGCAAATACATAAACAAAACGAAACAAAACAAAAATCAAGTGCCTTCTATGATTTTTCAGCTGAGTTCCCAGTGTCTCTAAAGCTTAATAAAATGATTATCATCCGGAAACATTTGAGACAAACACAACGAAATGCAAATAACTTTGTAGTAAAAAACAATCTATTGCAAACGGGTCAAAGAGTGTAAATGAAATATTAATGGACATCATGAAAAAGAAGAATACAGTGGACGATCCTAACTCTAGAACACAACTGTGTCGAGCATCATTCCCAAAGTCTGAACAATGTTTGACGACATTAAATTAGAAACATGCTCTTCAAGATGCTTCTTAGCATCCTGCCTCCCCACATTGGCAATTGCAAGCTTTTCTGGGGGAAGCTCATCTTCCTCCTGCACTGCCTTGTTGTACTTGGTTGCTAAACTAAGCATCTCCTGAATTACCACCCAAAAAAATATAATAAGATTTTTATCTCAAGTACAAAGTATACAGAGTATATTATATGTGATAAATTGAGAACAAGACAAATTCAACAAAAAAATGTTGAATTATTATGAAATTTATGTCCAAGAATCTCAACTTACCTGAACAGTCTGTTCATTAGTTTTAGAATGTGAATCGAATCGTCTGAGTGTCAAACCATCAGTCCATTTCTTCTTATGAAGGTTAAGCAACATCTTCTCTTCAAGCTCATTTTTCCTGTAATTGATTGCTATTGAGTAATAATGTCGGTTCAAGCCATGGATCAGAGCCTAAAAAGGAGAATATGAAGTCAAATTTGGTACGCGGACAAATAAAACAATCCAGAAGCTATAACTTTGAATAGAATTTCAAGACACTCACTTGGATAGATGGCTTGTTCAGATGGCCAAGGTTAGAGGTTGTCTGTCGTGGTTCTTGACCCAGCATCATAGTTTGTGGATTAATCAGCCGGAATGCATCAATCACCACTTTGCCTTTAACACTCTGAATAGGATCCACCACAACTGCCACTGCCCGTTGATTTAAAGCCTCAAAACTCTGTAACAGATAAACGTAGCATACATATCATGTGCAACTTTTTAAAAGTAACAGCACTATCCCCGCATAAAAACTTCAGTTTACAGTTAGTTTCAATTACTAATTTTCTTAGTGCTTCATAATCTAAAAATCAAGCTAGAATTTAAATATAAAGCTCACGCTACAGTCTTAATCTGACTGAAGCAGTATTACTTATCTACAAGTATTGCATAATTTCATGACTGAAGCAGTATTACTTATCTACAAGTTTATATCCCTCAACTAGCACTGTCCCAAATCTAAGAATGGGGGAATGTGATGATGTTAAAGTTTTAGAGGCTCAATCCTACACCAGGACACATATCCTCCCCTTTTTTTGCTTGCACCAATTAATGTAACACATGTACCCCAAAAATAGTTTCCATCAATTGATGCTGCTTCTGTTTGAAATCATTAAAACTGAAGCATAACCTAGGAGATAAGTTTACTTGTCTATATGTCCGTCTTAAACAATAAAACTAATAAAGTTTTCCGTCTTCATTTTTGCTCCCGCCCGGTGAGGTTTCATGAATATAATATTTTTTATTTTGCATGTTTGGCTAATTAAAGAAGCTACCACAATTAACTGAAGGTTGGAGAAAAGTTGAAAACCTGTTGTGTATTAATGTCCACTCCAGAAAGCCAGCAGCCAAATCCAGGATGTGAATGATACCAACCTACAACCATCTCTGGTCTGAAACAGAATGTATAAGTAACTGATGTAAAGTGATCCAGTCTAGATATGGAATGTATAAGTTTCAAATAACTGATGTAAAGTGATCCAGACCAAACAGAATGTATATTCATAGCAGAAAAGCATAGAGGCATGGAATAACAAACCACAAGAAAAAACATGGTTATAAAACAGTTGCCAGTGTCTTCAATTCTTTTCACACCAAGTAAAGTAGGCTACTAGAACCAAGTGACATAATAATATCCTATTTATCATGAATCATGTCTATTGACAAATCCTTTGAATCTAAGTCCCTCTTAATGGTTTGGCCTATATAGTGTTTCCTAATCTCCCTCTATCTCTAGTTATTTTACTTTTCTCCATCTTATCTCTAATCACCTTATAACGGCTTTAACAGATCTTCACAACACATACCCAAAGGACCTAAAGCAAGATTCTACCACTTTTTCCATGAGATAGTACCCCAACTTTCAATCCACCCAATGCAATCACCACTAATCTTCATAACATCACAAAAATGAAATAATTTTTTTGTTAGTTCTGTACCACACTACATTCAATCTCATACAACATCTCAAGTCTTATTATCATGGGCTAAAAATATTATTTTAGCTTGGACGATAACACCCTTCACTTAATGCATAAATCCTACAATCATGGTTACATCTTGTCCTATCTTCCTTAACTTTAACTATGTACTCAAACCGTGCCACTCATTGTTGTCAAAATCAACCACTGGATCGTAAGATCTTACATGGCAAGGAAGAGTGCTACGATCAAAGAAAGATGATTTTCGTCAATGGTGTGGTCAAGGTCGAGCTTTTTGAAGCAAGATCGTAAAATTACCATTTTCGCCTTCGGTAGGATCTTACATGTCATGCTAACGATCCGATTTTTACTATCTGTCACAAGACGACCAATCCTACTTAGATCTCGTGCTTGACTACATTGCCACTTATAGTATATGATGTGTCCAATTTTCACAAATCCTTTGAACTTATAAATACTCCTCCTGCCTAACTTACATTCAATATGTAACAATACTATGCGCCGTGTCACTATGGTTCCTAAATATGAGAGACAGTGTCACTATGGTTCATAAATGTATCAAAAAATACAAAAAACATTCCTACCTATGTTTCTATTACTAGTTTCATGGACCAAACAGAGTAAGGCAAGACACATCTAAGGACCATAGTAACCAGCGAAAAACATGTAAAAGGACCAAACTAACAAATAAAAGACGCATTCAATATCTTTTTGTAATTTTGACACATTCATGTACTATGATAATATCTAATGTGCTACCAAAGCTCCTACATATTCCAATTTAAAACATGAAAAAATTGAAGAGAATCCTTTACTGAAAATACCTTCCAGTTTGTTTCAACATATCAAGCATATTAGTTTGAAAAACATGATCAACAGCTTCAACACTAACACCAGTCCCACTCTGCGGCATAGCAAACACATCAACAACGCGCACAGTATACTCATCAACAAACTCCCCCAACATCAAACCCATAACTTCCATAGGAACACCAGCCCTTCCTATATTCAACCAAAAAATTAGGGTTTCGAAAATTAGGGTTATATGAAATTGAATGAACGAATCGAAACGATAAGCCAAGAATTGAAGAAGAATCTATACCGTGTTTGAGCATTTTGAGAAGAGCGAGAGAGGAGATGTAAACTTGTTCCGATGAATCTAGGGTGGGGGAATCCGGTGGTGGATGGCCGCCTAGTGCTCCACCTGCACCCGCGAACATTCTTTGAAGTCTCTCCATACCTGACATGATTGTTCAGGATTTACAACTGATGAATGAATGAATGAAGTAAAATAAAATCTTTTTAGGTTGTTTTCTTTTATAACAAGTTAAGAATTATTCTGTTTTTTTTATTTGTTTTTTTTTATCAACACTCAAAGAAAGAAAGAAGAAAATAAGAGAAGTTAGAGTGAAGGTTAAATATGACATTTCACGAGTTAACGTTTTGATCAAGAAATTGTGTCGTCAATAAAGGGGCCATTCTAGTTTGAGTTTAGAATCTACCTGGCACTCCATTTTGGTCCTAACACATCATAAATTTTAATAACGTCAAAATTACCTCTATATTATTATTTATCTATAATATAAGAAAATTTATTCTATCAAAAAAAAATCTATTTTATATTTTTATTCCATAAACACAATACGTAGATAATTTTTTTGTCTCTATTTCATATTTTCATATTCTCGTCTAGTCTCCTTCAATACTGTTATTTGTCCTGTCTCTCCAACATCCCCTATTCATTATCAATTTTGTAATTGTTATCCATAACTTTAATTTGTTGGTTTCAAACGTATGTCTCTCCCACTACTTCATCAATTGTCCCAAAATCATCATGGCTACCATTCTTTATAATTGTCCATAATCTCAACTTCTGTTACAGCTTCACCTGCCTCAAATCCTAACGTTTTTGCATTGTCTCCCTCTTATCGGTTTAACATGGCACAGCCAATTGAAGCTTTATACGACATCAATAACGGTAAAGAATTATGGAAGGTTGCAATCAGGGTTCATCATCAGTGGAATGCTCTGATTAACAACAAAGAGTATTTTGAAATGATTTTTGTGGACAAAGTGGTAAAACATGTTTTCTCTGCGTCTGGATAGTCTTCAGGGTAGTTTTTCTCTATTCTGTTTTTCGCACAATTCCCTTGGCATATTCTGTTGTTATGGCAGATTTTTTGTGCATTGCGTAGTGTTGGTTTTCTGAAATTCTGTTATTTTTGTGTGCATTACAGGGCGATGATATACATGTTGTCTCGATGGCACATAAGTCTGTTTTGATGAAAAACTATTGTTGGGCCATACTTATATTGTAGCCAACTTTAAGGTTCAGTCGAATGTGTCGTCTTTCAGACCTTCGGCGCATAAATTTATGCTCAAGTTTACGGGAGGTACGTCTGTTGGAGATGATAACAAACATGACATACCTGCGAAATCGCTGGTGTTTACTGGTTTTTCTGATATAATCAGTGGCAATTATAACAAGGATGTGCTGATAGGTAAAAAAATATAACATTTTTTATCTTTTGGTCGTGTAATTGAATTTGATATACTATTTTTTTTTCTTATGCGGGTGTTTGTCTTTTTTTGGCAAGATGTAATTGGAATGGTTGAGGGCATTGGGTATTCACAGACGCAGTCGGGTTCAAAAAAATTGCAGGTTAATATGATGTTAAGGGACCACAGGTATGTAATCCAGTGCTTTCGGCGTTGTTGTTATATCATATATCATATGAAATGCATCTTAAAGTTCTTTTGATGACCGACTGTTGTGTATTCATTGTTTAGCAACAACACTTTGAATTGTACCCTTTGGGAATCGTATGCCGAACAATTTATCAAATTCACACAGGATCGTGACAATAGCTCTGGTCCAACTGTGTTGTTGTTGCAGTATGCAAAACTCAAACAAGAGGGTTGGTTGGTTCATTATGTTATTATAAAACTATTTATTTTTGACCACTCACACTTGCCTCCTATTTTTGTTTGTGTAGGGAAGTTTCTGTTGTCGGTCACAAACACCTACAATGTCACGTTGCTCTGCCTCGACGTTGGTTTTCCTTTAATCAAAGATTTCATAGACTGGTATATTCTCTGTATCAATTTGATGGTATCCATTGATAGGTTGAAATTCTCTTGTTGTTGTGTGAAAAAAAATTTAATTCACTTATTCATGCAGCATGCCTAAGGAGTATATTGTTACTGTCTCCGAGCAGATGGGTTTGGGTTAGCAGTTATCATCACAGAATTATGAAAAAACACAACTCAGCCCTGCTCAGAGGTTACTGTCAAGTGCTGTTGTTTTGCCTCTTGGTGAAATAATCAAACTCTGTGATGTATGATACAATTTGGTTGTTGCTGTTGTTTTTTTCCATTTGTGTTGGTCACTTCTTTTTTTTAATTTGAGATTCATGTCACGGGTTATTGATGCAGATTACTGGTCACGACTTTGTGAGTCTTAAAGAATCTAGACCGCAAGTATACAGTCCTATCGTGTGTAGCTTTAAAGATTATTGAATCCCAAGGGACTAAATGTCGAACTATCGTTATCTTAGGTTACTACGTAAATCTAAGGCTAATAATATAATTAATTGGGGTTTGGGAACCTAACTGATTAATATCTAGTTTAGATTCAAGGGGGGATATCAGTATGTAATGGTCGGACTTCGGGGATTTAGCAACTCGATGACCTAATTCGAATTAATAAAATAGTTCTCAGTAGGAGGTATTAGTTTGAAAACCCTCTTCTCACACTCTCGTGTTTATTGATTCAGATCCTACTATCAAACCTAAGTGAGTGCTCTCGCTGTTTCAAATAGAGTTTAAAAATAGTTTTTGAAAACAAATAAAACCTAATCAACTTAAAAGCGCTCTCGCTGTATTTTAAGTTAATGCCCAATTATCACTGTCCAGTTATTATCTCAAATTCTCATTTTATTGATCCTAACTTCTATCTGTATTTTACTCTCGTAATAAGTTGGTTTTTAGAATTGATAATTGAAACCAGAAAAGTCATTCTTTTAAAAAGGAAGTGATCAGTCGGCGTTGCCAAAATCCCGTCAGCTATGTGACCTTACATACCGATAAATAAATTTAGCCTAGAATGTTAAACAATTTAATAACAATGCAACAAAAAAAACTATCATCAAACAATCTAAATAAACATAACATTTCAAACAATCTTGACATACATAAATAAAATACTTAAATTAAACCTGAAAATAATATGGTGGAATATTTGACTCGCTTCAGGTATCTCAGAGATTGATGAAAAATAACAAGCAGAAATAAATAATGCGGAGAATATTTTTGGCAGAGTAACACTAAAATTAAAGAGAAGAAAAACGTATTCAAAAAGAAGACTGCCCTCGAACAGGAATTATGAGGCATTTTTATAGGCTTGGAGGCGCGTGGGAGTTGAGATATTTTCTCCTCCCACTTGCCTAGCGTAACGGTCGTTACGCTCCTCTCTTCAAGGAGGATTGAGCGGTCGTCAAGACCTATTAAAAAGGGGGAAGGCTACAACGGTCGCTGTAGCCCAATTTTGTAGGAATGGCTTAGTTGGCAAGGGTTTCACGGTTGTTACACCTAGGCAAGGGGAGTGTAACGGTCGTTACACCTTGGGCTTGGGGAAATTTGGGCCTTCCTTCATTTGTTCTTCAGGGCCTTTTTGCTTTTTGCTTTTGATACGCTTTGTTTAGTCATACACCCCATAACTTCATAATTGTTCACTCTTTATGTGGATTTAAGCATGATTGGCACGACTTTTCCCGATTTTATTTGCATGTGTCTTGTAATATCAAATTTCTGAAAACATAGAAAATATCGGCATAATACGAATAAAGAATAATAAAGGTAATTAAAATGCGGATAAAATTCATATAAATTAACCTAAATATTCGATACATTTCCGGGTTATCAAACTCCCCTACACTTGAACATTTGCTTGTCCTCAAGCAAATAATAGAGTAAAAAACTTTTAACGCACGGTCTCTGACACAATCGCATGACACGAATCGAATTGTGCGTGGTTAAGGGGCGATACATTAGAAAGATAGAACTAGGTTCCGACACTAATGATACAAAAATGACACAAAACCATATGACATGGTCAAAATCCTCCATCCTATGCAAACTCGTCCTAATTACTCTATCATAGCTTGACCTAATTCTTTTCATTTGAAATCAATCGCTTTCATTCTAGCGCAATCACATTAATCCCTTTATCTTTCGCACGCACATAGTAGAGTAGCCGATTAGCGATTCTGGTCTTTTATGCACGGGTTTCTGGTACGCAAGTTGGTAACCCTTGTTTCTTTTCCAGATTATAAGTCTCGGGGGATCGAACCGTAGTTCTCCCTACCAAGTTCAACACTAGATACCACTGAACAAGCTTACAACTGGTTATTACATCAGTTTTTGTAGGTACCACAGATGTTGGATTAAATGACTTGGTGAGGGTCACCTAACTTAGTTAGCGCATTCCCTATTATATTTTGATGTTTAGAATTTTTTTCTTTACTGGTATTTTTTTTATTAGGACCAGTCACTTATATTCATCGGCTCCCTACGTAGTTTGTGGATAAGACAATGTTGACTGCTAGTATAAACTACTCGGGTCGATCCAAAACTAAAACTTAAGGCTTTAGTATCATGACCACTCAAACTGATTTACATAATCTGGAAGATTTAGGTGTCAAGGCGGTATTATTTTTTCGAATAAACTTTAAAATTTCTAACGTAGCCTAATTGTGAGCAACCTATATACTTTTTGAATGTACCGAGCTAATGCGTCGAGTAACAAAAAAAATTATGGTTCAAGAAAAGTGTTGAAGTACGAATAACTTACGGAAATGAATTTTTTATTTTATTGAATGTAAAGGGAAATAACAAAAATTCAAATAACTTACTAGAAAAGTAGAAAACATAACAAAGGTTTCCTCCCTGACACTTGAATTGAGCATTGTCCTCAATACGACAAATAAAGTGAGGAAAGAAAATGAATAGAAAACTTAAAGAAATAATAAAAATGTAAGGGATAAAGCAAACAAAGATCACTCCTCATCGTTATCTCTGACGTCTCTGCTGGATGATGCTTCACCTCGTGCCCTTCTTCCACGTGTCCTTACTCCACCTCTTCTGGTTCTAGGAGGTTCTTTTCCAGTGTTGTAAACATAAGCATGCAAGTTTTCAACACAAAATGATAAATTGCACATTTCATCAGTCAAGTTAGAAATGTCGCGAT